GTTGGATGGCTCCAGGGTATCACTTCTGTGCTTAGAACATTCTGAGAAGGAGGTTTTTTTTTATTTTTGTTCCACTGAAAGACTTGCTTGGTTGTTCAGTGAAAAACTACGGTGACCAGCTGCAAAGAGTCGTTGCCCCCAGAGGAGAGAGAGAACATTAGCCAGACTATGAGCCAATCATAGCCGAAGCTGCTAATGTCGCTCCCAGCTGCACATCTCAGCAGAGATGTAGGTAAGATAAGAGAAATTAAATACATTTTCACAAAAGAACCCAGAGACGGATGTGGAGATTAAATTCTAGATTTCTGCTGCTGCACATTATGAGCTACAGCTAATTGTTATTAGCTTCTGTAGTACCTCAGTAAGAGGCTAACTTCATGGTAATAACGTGGCTCTGCATCCTGTATAAGGTGTTTTATAGGTTTGTGGTTTAAACAGAAGTTTCAGAGGAATTCATGCTGGTTGTTTTGTTTTTTGTTTTTTATAGAGGTGACAGAGTCTTACATTGTTTTGGGCACAGAAACGCACAGATTTGATAACCCTGGCACTGAAGAGCAGGTATAGTTGCTACCTATACCTTTATGAACATAGATCATTTCCAACAGCTGTGGAGGATTTTTTTGAAGTTTATAGTCATTCATAGTATTACATCCTAATTTATTTTATAAAATAAATATATTTTTAGTCCCTACTTGCTATTTTCTTTAGGTTTATGCACTCACTGTGTCGGTCCGGACGGCTCCTTGAACATTCCCTCAGTGATGGCTTTGTTCCAGAAAAGCTGGAAGCTGTCTTCCTTCAAGGAGAGCTTCAGTAGGTCCAAGGCCACGGAGGGCAGAGCAAGGTCCTTTTTCACAGAGCGGGCTGCCATCTTCAACACCTCCACTAACCTGCCAGACAGAGGATTGGCAAACAGCTGAGTGAACACATGACGGAACGTCCTGGCCGAGGGTCAAGTCCTAATTCCAGTAAGGGTCCTAAATTTCTCCTTAGGATGATTAAGATTATCTTCTTATCAAACATTGTCTTTTTTTTTCTATGTTACAACATTATGCTGAGCTCTGAAGAATAAAACTGGTCACAAAAAAACAATTCAATTGGTTTTGCAAATTGGAAACAACATGATAAATTCAGGCTTACAATTTTTTTTTTTTTACTCAACAAATGTCTTAAATTAAGGATGCATTTTTCAAATCAGAATAAATGCTAATAAACTTTAACTTGTGTCTATTCAGAAATAAAATTACATTCTAGGTTCGTTTACATATACATTTTAAACCGATTAGTATTATGGTGGTTCTAGCTTCTTATTCCTTAAACAATTACTTTCTAAAACCTTTGAATGAAAAGAAGTAACTTACTTTGGGATGTTGTCTGCATTGATGATGGTGGAGGAGCCGAGCAGCTTCTTAAGCTTCTTTGGTTTAAGCGTCTGCGGGAAGCGCTGCAGCGCCACCAGCAGCAGCTGGAGTTGCTCCGGAGTCCTAAAAGCCGACGCCAAGTCAGCCTGCAGAGCGCTTAGCAGAACCTCCTCAAACACCACCTCTGGTATCTGGCGGGGGGGCCATAAATAAGCAGATGAAAGGATAGAAAACAACTCGCAGCAGTGGGAATATGAAGGTGCCACCAAGATGTTGCTGTTACCTCAGTGAGGATGTCTGTCATGGTCTTGCTGGGTAGGTCCTTTAGGTGCTCTTTGTGCTGACTCAGGCTCTGAAGGAGCTGCACGCATCCCAGCACCACCTGGGGCTCCTGCAGACAAACAGCTTTCTATACATTTGCTCCACCATAATTTTTTTATCGTTATATTCCAAATAAATGGGACATTTCTTAACATTCCTCAGAAAAACATGTCTGTTGAAAGCCTGACTTCAAGCTAATAATCAAAAATTATCATTGTATTTTACATGTAAAAAAAATCTTTTTCATGCATTTCCAACATGAAATGAACAATTTGTAAAAGGGAAGCTAAATTAACACCCTTACTCGGGTCTTTACAGCCTTTCATAATCTAACTGAGAAGTAAACTTACTTTGACGAGGCGTCCCGACTGATGAAGAGCGAGGACGCCAAACAGGTTTCCAAACATGGCATTTCTGGCAAGTTTCTAGAAAACAAACAAGGTTTTGGTGTTTAAATGTTCTTTAAATTAAGGTTTCTGTTCTAGTATAAATCAAATGGAACAAAACGTACCTTTTTCACAGCTTGCAGGTTATGTTTTTCTTTGATCCTCTGGAGTATGCTCTGCAAGGAGACATCTTCAAAGGCGTTTAACACCTTAGGGAGAAAAGCCATTTATTTTCTGCTCATTGGGATGAATTTAAAGGAATCAAGCTGGTGTTTCACTAACCTGGCCCAGAGCCAGACTGAACGCAGGTCTGGCTGCCTCCCGAGTGTGGGCCAGTCCGTCCACCAGCCTTTTAAAGGTGTATTCCAGCTCATCAGCCTGCAGCATAGAGAGTTAGAAAGCATCATGAGCAACACTTATTCTCTATATATTTCCAACTGTACAATTACACTTTAAACATTTTTAAGTTCATTATTTTAGTTATAAACCTCATAAACATTAGTATATAATCCAAATACATGTCTATAGCCCATTTGGATAACATATGCATATTTTTCCCTGTATTTTTACGGTGGTCTTTCTGTTGGAAGATGACCCTTTGGCCAACACTCAATCCTTTCAGCCTCTAAAATCTTCTCTTCCAGGTCTTATTTATTCTTTTAGCTCCATCCACTCTAAACAACATCCCGGTCACCAGTGGGTAACATCCTCCCCGCATCATGATACAGCCACCTCCATGTTTTAAAAGGCCAATAGTGTAATCAGAGTAAGATGCAGATTACCTATCAGATTCAGTTAAAATCTATCTACTCATTTGTTTCTCCTCTTAAGTCAGTTGGCTGCAGTGGATTTTATTTAGGGGTATTAGAAGACATGGGGCTGGACACAGCCTTTTTACCTCCAGTTTAGCATAACGTTTTTAGAGATTATTTTTGTTAATTGAATATAAAGAAATCCTTTAAATTCCTGTCAGATAAAGATTTTAATCTCTAAAAGAGTGGATCTTAGAGTGATTAATTCTATTGGTTCAGCGGTGACACAGTTTATAAACTTTGCTGGATGGCATGCTGTGTGTTTCTCTCACCTTGTTTTCTGTTTTCAGGTACTGGATCAGGTTCTCCACCGCCTTCAGCCGGACCTCCTGCTCCGGCTTGGCCAGGTCCCAGAAGAAGTCGAGGAAGACCCGGTTCTGTTGCAGGATCCCGGCAGCCCGGGGGGGCTGCGTTGGTCTCACTGAGACCTCCACCATCTCTACAGACATCTGCTATCTTACACCCAGCACGGACTGCAGGCCATGCTGCTCTACAACGTGCAGTACGAACAAGAATCCCTTCCGGGTCAAGCTAGTGTGGGGTGTGCTTCATTTACAAGCCGGCGTGCACTGCGGGGCGGCTAACAGTTGGAGTTACATTTACATACACACTCTGGAAGGGAGACACCAATATGAGGTGGGGTTATATCTATGCTAAAATGTAATCAATTAATGTGTTTCTTTTTTCTTTAGAACAACAAAGCAACTCCTTCAACCTTAAAATAGATATGTATATAAGCTGAGAGAAATAAAAAAGGGGGATTATAGTCAACTTGATATCTTGGAAATATAACATTCCCTATGTTAAATAAACTAAACACTTTAACATATCTTACTCAGATTTTTATGTGACAGACCAACCCATTTTAATGCACATTATGCACAAAGGTGTTGCAGAACTGGAGAGCTCCTTCAGTGACAGACTGCTGCACCTTAAATGCACCAGGGAGCATTATCACAGATACTTCCTCCCACCAGCTGTAAAACTCTATAACCACCACTGCTCCCAACAACCTCAATAAGTTGTTACATTCATGCTGCTTTTTGCACAGCTTCTTAGTCAGTTAAATAACATAATGCTGTCTTTTTGCTCTAATGTTGCTGCTGTTAAAATATTTATTACTGTAAAAATGTCCACCGCGTGTTGGTTGTTTATTCTCCAGGTTCACAGGTGTATTTATACTTTTTAAACACTTTATAGTACAGTATTATTATATATATTTTTTTGTGTGTGACCATTTTTCTGTTATAAAGCTGATGGAAGCTGTTGGACAGTTATCAAAGTTCTGCATACAATTAAAATCTGAAAATTGTCCTTTATCACATATCTACCAGGTTTCTGTCCTGTTTTTGGTTATAGGCAAGGCAAGGCAAATTTATTTGTATAGCACGATTCAGTACAAAGACAATGCAAAGTGCTTTATATGATTAAAATATAGGAAAACAAAACAGAATCAGAGCAAGTAGAAGAAAAAAAAATAAATAAAAAATGCAGAAACAAGAAAGAACATTAAAAGCAGTTGGACTAAAGAAAATTAAAAAAAATGAACCAATTATGTTTCAGTTGAACTTTTTAACTACAACAGTCGAAGGCAATCCTAAACAAATGTGTTTATAGANCACATTTTTGAGAAGACACGTCCGTTAAAGCTGTTTAAACGTTGCTGTTTGCATCTTTTATACAAGCTTACTTTCCAAAAGATTTGCAATTTTTCAACTATGTCAGACTTAAGTGAATATGGGGATGAGCACGTACGATGGCTTTGCGTAAACACATCACCAGAATGATTGACAATTAGGTCTTTTGATGTTCCACCAGGAAAAAGAACATCCTCCACTATACCTCTAAGGAATTAAAGTTTAGGTGATATAATCTAAGTTGTGCTATAAACACATGATCTCATCTTAACTAGGAATCTCTGCAGAAGCCTCTCTCTGGGCTAAACCTTCTTTGATGAAGTTTTTTCTTTTTATTATTGACTATCTTTTAGTTACACTTTATCAATGGGGCAATTTTTACTCATATTCCGTTACTAAGAAAAATTCAAAACACCAACATGTTTGAACACACTGCCTTTAATCCTTCCATAAAAAGACAATTTTATTAAAATTACATGCAAATTTCAGTATTTTTTTTTTGACAAACAAAAAAAAAAAACACAGAAAAAAACAGAGCTAATGTAGACTATCCCAGCATGGCTCTTTGGGCATTCGCTCACTCGGCGGAAGCCGTTAGCACAGTCTCCAGAGCACTTTGAGCCTCTTTGATCTGCTGCTGGAGTCTCTGCTTCATGGCCTCATTCTGGGCCTTTTTCAGCATGTCCTTCATGTCCCTAATGGCCGCCCGGTAACCCGGCGTGTTGTGAAACACTCTGATGGCCTTGTCTCCGCTGCAAACTAGGAAGCGACTGTTGATGTCGAATCTGAGGTCTGTGATCTCCACGCTGTGGACGCCACGCAGCTCCTCCTCTAGAGTCCCAGTGGTGGCGTCAAACATTGTCACGTTGCAGCCATCGCTGATGGCAACCACGCGGCCGTCCGGAGACAACGCCACTCTGCTGCCTTCGGAGGAGGAGCAGGAAACGGTTCTCAGGAGGTACGGATCCTGCTGCTTCTTGTACTCCACGTTTGTGTTCCACAGCTTCCATGTTCCGTCTTTAGACACAGTCACCATTCTGATTGGTGAAGGAAAAGAAGGCGGGCGGGTTATATTCAACATATGGGATTCTTAAATACTCTGAAAAAAACAACCTAAAACAGCCTATTGTTGGAGAGAGATCCATCAGCGCAGCATTAAACGCCTAATCTATTTAGAGGAATTGGATTCCACAATTACACAGCAGTTCACCCTGCTTCTTTGAATATTTAAGCTTTTATTTAAATTATCCAAATAAGCTACTGAAAGACACTTTCGTAGCCTCCACCAATTTCTCTTCCAGGATTAGCTCCACAGGCTTCCTCTCAACTCTGTCCATTTACCCTTCCCTTGCTAAATAACAGCATCCTAAGAGCATGATGCTGCTACCATCTTGTTTGACCACATGAAGGGTGTTAATCCAACACACAAAAAGTTTAATAACTGTATCAAATGATTCACAAATATCTAAATCCATGAATGTTTTACAAACCAAATGTGGGAATTTATCTATAGGAGATCTGTTTACATCGTTTTGGTTCCAAGACAACTTGTGGAAAAGTACCATTTTTGTTCGATACATGTTGGTGCTTTCACTCTTGTTTAATACATTCAATAAATATAGATCATATACAAATATAAATAAGTTCTGCATGTGACAAAGTGGTTCAGTTAGTGTTCACCACTTCTCCATTATTCTTATTACCGATTCCTAATGCTTAGAGTTAAACATTAGTTTGCAACTTCACTGCTTAACTTACTATCCCGGTTTGTTTGTGTTGGTATTTTACTGCAGTTTCCATCTATTTATATGTTTAAGATAAAGCTACTACTTCTGGACTATTAGTGGAACTTGTATATTTTGTTTCAAAGTATATTCATGGTATTTGTTTTCCATTTAACTGGCTATTCTTTTAAATTATTTTGTATACATGGTTTATTTTGCAAACCCTTTCATTATGTAGATGAGTTTGTAAATTTGATTAATAATTTAATTCTTCTCAGTTTAGACTTTGTTCCATTTTTTTCTACCTGTTTAATTGTGGCTTAGTCCACTCAAGTAAAGCTTTGTTGCCAATTAGTTATAAAAACAGTGAGTTCTTGGAAGCTAGGGTGAATGGTTGTCTGAGTTAAAACTACCAAATAAAATTATCAGAAGAATCGGGAACAGGTGGCTGATGCTGTTTTTTTTTTTTTGTTCACCTTGCTCATCCTTGACCTTACTACCTCACACTGCATTATTTATTTTATCTCAAATTACAAACACCCTTCCTCATAGGTTTAGAAAAAGAAAAATTACCTGTGAGAGTCATTTGAAAATGCGAACGCGTGAACTCCTGCAGAATGGCCCTTCAGGTCAAATGCTCTTGCAACTTCTTTGAACTCGCCTCCTTTTCCAAAGCAAACCTCCCAAACTTTCACATCTGGAGTGAAACCACAGGATGCTACAAACCTGAGAACATAAGCAGAGACCATAAGCCCCATAGATCTAATTAAGTGCTGCAATAAATGTTTCAGGTGGAAAAGTTTGTTGACCTGCCACAGGGAGAGATGGCTGCATAAGAATTAGTCATCTGATTAGTGTTAATGGAGGCCAGCAGCTCTCCTTTCAGATCCCAGATAAGGATGGTGGTGTCTGTGGAGGCACTCATGATGAACTTGCCTGTAGAGATCAAACAATTAGGATCTTTACAACTGTGCAATCTCCAATCCTTTATAATCAGTCCTGCCTGCAACATGTGTTCTGCACCTGTCTCTGCGATACCGATGTTGACTATCGCCGCCTTGTGTTTCTGCGGGAAATCCTCAGAGGCGGCTTTGAAGCTAAAGGTCCCATCATCCTTCTTGATCATTTTGAAGATACGGATAGCATCTCCATTGGCAAGCCAGGTGATGAACGCCCTGCAGGAGAACAGACAAGGACATGAACTCCATTTAGATCTTCTGCTCACAAATAAGTTATTTTCCATATGTGGAAAAGAAGTATTCATATCCAAGCTGATTCCTTCTTGTGCTTATTTTTATGGTTGAAATCAAATTACTTTTAAGACAATGAAAGCCATATACAATCTAAAAAAATGATTTTAAAAATAATACTTTTATCTATTAAATGTTTAAAGGGTAACTATACCAATTTGACCCCAAGTTGAAAGTGGTTATCCTTCACCTTAGATCATGAATTAACTGTGATTAATAATTTTTTTAGATCAACTTCACTAACCACACCCAGGACTGAACCTTGACCAACCTGGAGAATCCACTGTTTATGAAACCTGTCTGACCTGTCCAACATATGCCAGAAAACATCTTGTTGATTCCTAGGACCTTGGGGGAAAATATTTAAAGTCATGGTTTTAAATTGGTCTAGTCAAAGTCCAGACTTCAATTAAATTGATGTGCTCATGCATTTGTGCTTTATAGCTGTCCAATGGGGCTAAAATGAATACAGTTTGCAAAACTAATTGAAAGCAATAAGTAAAAGTCTATGAGACAGTTCCCACAAACCCCTGATGTTAGCAGGTGGAGCCAGTGTGGTGCAGCCAGTTAGTGGTTTAGGGGGGAACAATTTTTCTACAGAGCCCATGGTTTCTGTCTCTTTTAGGGCTGCAACAACGAATC